GGGCGTCAGATCATCAACGCAATGTTGACAATGCGTATGGCGAAATGCTTCTCCTTCTGGAAAGCGAACAAGAGCTTAACTTGCCTGGTTTCACGCATGGTCGACCCATGTTCAAGCTGACCGCAACACATGCCCTTTTGGCTGGTCCGTTCTGGACGTCCGGATGGCAGTTGAGGTGACAGAGGGGCGCACGTCCGCTTGTCAGATTGGAGAAGGGCCGGGGGTAGCCTGAACCGAAAGTCTGTTTGGGGTTTGGAGAACGAGACACGGGTGTTGACGACAGTATACGTACAGGAAATGACGTTCACAACACCCTCTTGCGTTATGCCTTTAAAAGGCCAACCCCTCAGGAAACACACAGACTGGCGCGGCTTCAGTGGAGTTTCTAAACGCGAAGCCCTACGAAGAGGACGTGTTTACCCTGCGAGGATGAGACGGTTGATCCCGAGCGGGAAGCCTGTTCTGGAAGAAAGCTTGGTACATTGGAAATACGCAGGTTGGCATTGCTTGTGCCCTGGTATCCATGCCACCATGTATGTACATGCCGTCTGTGCTGCGACCCCTCACCCCCATCCGAGCATTCACACGCAAGCCGTGCGAGCTTTGGCAATGGATGGAAGGGACTGATTGTGCGACCTAGGAATCCATGTATATGATAATATTCACGGAGTTCCGTGAAATCAGAGACAGATGTCATTCCAGATCGTAATCGCACGCATCATCGGTGGCAGGTACAACAGGGGCGCTGCTTGGTGATGAACGGGCGACTGGAGCTCGAATAGGCCTCGTAGTGACCATACGAAAACGGGAGGCTGACACGAGCGTTGCATGACGTCTGGCAGAGATGGGGATCCGGGGACAGACTGATAGCAGCATTGCAAGCATGACCAGGATGTCAAATACAAACTCATCTGTGCGGCATGTCAATACATTCGACGACCGCCATGAGCCTGTCTATGCGGGGTTCTGGAAGACGACACCTACTAGCTGTGCTTTCTAGAGCATATTTACTTCCTTCAAGCTACTTTGAAAGACAGTACCTGCAGTAGATCGAAAAACTTCAAGTCAAAGGACTTTGAGCATGCCAAGAAGCATGGCAGCGAACCCCCCTATTCCTCCGTAGAGGGGGTGGTGCGAAAGCTTGAATAGTAAACATTTCAACCAACCCGGTCAAGGTTTCTCGTCACAAGTTGTCAAACCCCCCACCTCTTTCCGAAGTTGGGGTACCGAAATGCCATGCGCGAAGATAGTTCAGCGAGACTGGAGCTCGGCTCACAGGTTTAGACCCGCTGACTGAACGGGCGGAAGGGCTATGGGGGAACCGATCGCAGGCAACAAGCTTTGGGGCGGAGCTATCTGAAGCTGTTTGAGCCGGAGCTATGCCTTGGGAAGCTGGCAAGCTGTTTCAAGCTGTGAGCTGAGCTCCGGCTTGGTGATATCTTGCGTCAAGGCCGAGATCATTATCCCGATGGTAGTTGAGAGCTAATCAATTATATTGTGGCATGCAATCGGGCTATCATCGAGCTGGCTATGATTCCTCTCCATCGTCTTGATCTTCCCGCTCACTCGAGCTCACCCTCTCGAGAATCCGCTGTCTCGAGTACGCCTCTACAAGCTCTGTCTCCCTCCGATTGCGAATTTCGTCGAGCGCGGGCTGGGCCGTCAGCCAGGCGGCGATGAGCATGCTCTTCATCTGCCAGTTTGAGCCGAACCGGCGGGCGGTGTACCATTCGACCCCAAGCCTGCCGAGCTCCGGTTTCCAGGGGAAATTGGATACGAGATGAAGGCGCAGGATCGACGGGTACTTGTCCAGCTGGAGCAGCGCTTCCTGCGAAGCGGCGACGTACCATCTTGTGCTGCCGAGGACGAAGCCGAGTGAGGAGCCGATGATAAAAGGCAGCCCGGCGGTGCCCCAGATGCTGGCGCCGACGAAGGACGCGGCGAGGCCGACGACGGCGGCGGTGGCTGTGCCTGCTAGCATGCTACGTAGCATGCTTTTGACGACGGTCAATCATAGATTGCGGTTATTGAGATGGAGGCTCTTACAAGAGACCCGGGCCACTATCAATGGTTAGAGATCACAGAAACAATGAAGTACAAACATGGACCAGGTGCGGCCCGAAGCAGGGGTTGACAAACTTGACATTGCCCCAGCCGCCCAATATCCTTAACAGATTAAAATGCGGCTGAGCATTCTGGCTATACTCCGTCATCTAGCAACATGTTGATTCAGCTTTCCTATGCCTGGAGGCTTAAGGCTGCGGGTATCTGATGCGATCTTACAGCGTATTCCTGCATGGCGATAAATGCACCGAACACCGACGTGCAGGCTGTCCAACGTCAATGGAGGAAAGGTGACTAAAACCGTGGATCTGGTTGGTCAACGAGAGTGAGTCGTCGTCTGAATGCTACAAATGTCCGGTGATGTTGGTTGCGCCGCCCCACCACCCCCCAACAAACTCAAACATCTGCCCGGCAATGTCTTGGCGAATCAGATGCGGCGGAGGCGCGTGCCGGTGGAATGCTGCCGGGAACAACGCCCATCATTGCCTCAGGCTACAGGAGGAATATGCCAGGCAGCAGCTTTCTCCCTTTCTCATCTCAGTAAGGAAATACTGCGCTCGTAAGATTTGTATGTGGCCTAACACCCTTGACAGCAGAGGTGCCTTTGCTGTGCCGCAGACGAGCGTCGGCATGAACACGCTCATTTCACCACGGCCTCATACCTCTCGCGGAATCAGCGGGCGGTCCGCCGGCACGCTCCCCGGCGGGGTGGGATAATAGCACATACATCACTCTTCCCGCTGTTTCGTTTCAAGAGTTCCAAAGAGTCCATCCGGTCTTTTGCGTTGACAGTGCAAAATTGAGCACAGTATGCTGCTGTCAATTGATGCATGCAGATGCAGGATGCCGGTTGCAACGCGGTGCAGGTGCTGGATGATATACGCCCCATAAGGACAGCGAAAACGTCCGTTTAATATAATTGTCCTCGCTTTCGGCCTTTTGCAGCGATGAATAATACTAACCTGGACTTTCAGCCCCTCATTAACGCGCAGAAACGTCGCCAATCGGGGCCTACAAGCACCGATCGGGTCCGGACATTTTGGGGATGACCGAGCTGCCCGGCTTACAGGGCTCCACAATCATCTCAGAATCCACACTGTCTCGGTCCCGGGCGTGCCCGACTCAGCTCAGCAGGCTGAGCAGTGACGTCGGTTTAAATAATTGACAGTCGTCTTTTAAAAGAGTCTTAGCATTGGAAACATTTATCAGACCTCGTGTATGCAAGCAACGAACGACACACAGATCTCGGCATTAGATTCTCGGATTCATAAAGCAAGCAAGTCATGGCATCAGTAACGGTACGGCGGTTCCGCCCCGCGACAATTGCGGCCACCGTCGCGGCAGGGGGCATTGGTCTGGGCATCTTCTCCAAGATGATGATCGGGAACGCAGCGGCGGAATCAGGGGCGTCGCCAAAGGTGTTTGGAGCTGGCCCGGCTTTTGTGTCACTGCCGTTGGAGAGCTCTGAGCAGGTGAATCACAACACGAAGAAGTTGCGGTTCAAGCTGCCGCAGAGGGATGCCGTAAGCGGGCTGTCATTAACATGTAAGTGTCAATCGCATCAAGGACGAATGAATCTTTGCGACTAACGGGATCACAGCTGCCGTCTTGACGATGTCATGGCCAGAAGGAAGATGGTTCCCCGTCGCGAGACCATACACGCCCGTCCAACCACTAGGTAAGACCAAACCGCCCCATCATCCGACCGAACAAGACTGTTTCTTGCTCACACACCACCTCACTTCGCAGACGACGCCGGCTACCTCGAGCTCATGGTGAAGAAGTACCCCGACGGCAAGCAGAGCACGCACCTGCACTCCCTCGCGCCGGGCCAGAAGCTGCTCTTCGCGGCCGCGCTCAAGGGCCACCAGTGGAAGCCCAACAGCTACCCGCACGTCACGCTCATCGCCGGCGGCGCGGGTATCACGCCCATCTACCAGCTCGCGCAGGGCATCCTGCGCAACCCGCAGGACAAGACGGCCATCACGCTCGTCTTCGCTGTCAACTCGGACCAGGACGTGCTCTTGAAGAAGGAGTTTGAGGAGTTTGAGAGGGAGTTCCCCGGGCGCTTCAGGGCGGTGTATACCGTCAGCAACCCCGTGGCCGGGTCGCCGTACCGCAAGGGCTATGTGACGAAACAGCTGCTGGAGGAGGTCGCGCCGGTGCCGAAGACGGCGGAGACCAAGGTGTTTGTGTGCGGGCCGCCGGCGATGGAGGCGGCGCTGGTTGGGAAGAGGACTGCGCCTGGGATTTTGCAGGAGCTGGGGTATCGCAAGGGCCAGATTCATCAGTTCTAGGGACCCTGGCAGGGAATTTTCTTTTGTTTATTTATTGTACGCGAAGGACATACCGGCTGGATGGCGTTTTCGCAGAAAGCTTTGTACAAAATAGATCACTTACACCAACGAATCGATGCTGCGATTTTTCAGCGCTCGCTTCAGCGCACTATGCGGCAACTTCAGCGCCCTGAGCACTGGAGGCACCTCCAGCGCAGAGGTGTGCGCGGGCATGGACGCCGGAACTGTCCTCTGTCGTCATCACAATAGACCCGCCTTGCTAGCTCAATCGGTAGAGCGTGAGACTCTTAATCTCAAGGTTGCGGGTTCGACCCCCGCGTGAGGCTCAAATCCTCACCGCGATTGGCACATAACAATCAAACGGGCTTATCTTTTTGCTTTTTATTTTTGTACCTCTCGTTCGTGGGTTATAAACGTCGCGTCACGCCAAAGGTTGTTAGCATACATCGTTAAGTAAGAACCTTTCGTAATAAATATCACCTTTAGGTTAGATGTTATAATCATTTTCTATGATATATAACTTTACTCATACTATCACGTCCTTTCCCCGTGATGCTTTAGTTCCAGATACTCCAAAGCGTATATAATAGTTTCTGTTAATGTTAATAGTGTACTGGTACAGGTGCAGGATATCACACATCACACATCCCATATTTCATCCTCATCAATATCAATGTAGTTAATCAGTGGTACAAACTTCGCAGGTGTCGCAGGTGACTGAGAAGAAACTGCGAGCGTTCAGCCGTAGAATTTTAGGGACGTATAGCGGGAGACTCACGAGAGAGCTTCATTGTTGAAGCTATGACAGAGTCCAGCGCTCTTGTGCACTGGTCGCTGTGGACGTCTTGGATGATCTTCTCAAACTGGTAAACCTCGGGGAGTTTCTCGTGCGAGAAGGACTTGAGGGCTCCCAGGTCATGTCGCAGCATCTCTTTGCCTGTGCTTGTGTCAGCCGAGTCCATCTCACTCCCTGATGCATCTACCCATTCCCCACGATGACGACCTACCTGAGAAATTAGCCTCGAAAGCGTCAATGATCACCGAGTCGTTACGACGCCGCCTGCGGAATGATAGCAGGGCAGCCATCATCGGCAACGCCCACTCGTCCCCGAAGCAACCGATCGCAAGACTCAATGCCGTGCGAACCTCGAGCCGGGTTGCAGAAATTGTGACCGCGAAGCAATCTGTCCGCAACTTGCAGACTCTCTTGGCCAGCTCTGGCTTCTCGTTCGGCTCCTGCATCTCAGGACACAGCTTGAATAGGCCATGGCTTATGATGTCCTGCAGGCTGGCGGAGGTGGAGTGGCCTTCTATGGACAGCGACCCTTGACACAAGTACTCTCCAAAGTTGTACGAGGTGTTCCGGCGGAGATGTCGTATTTTGGAGAGATTGTACTCTCTGTGTGAATCCTTGCCTATGTAGACATTCAAGAGGGCAGTGTCCGAGATGAATGCGCCTCTGGGCAGGCTAGAGGTGTCCAGCACGAATACTTGAATATCTGAGAGGTCATCGGGGTTGGTCTTGATGTTGCGGTAGAGAGCGTATTGAAGAGCGAACAGGAGCGAGCTGGACCATGACATGAGGTTGTCGCTGTCACGGGGCCAATTGCGGAGGTGGCAGTTGAGCATCTCTGCAGCTTCTCGGACTGGCATTGAGAATATGTCGGTAGTAGCACCGGTCTTGCCCAGTGCTGCCGCCTTTGAAAGGACATGCTCGACCGTGGTTTCGCCAGCCGTGCTGGGTGCATGGACCCGGAAGAGATATCGAGGGATATCCTCGAGAGCCTGGGAGATCTCCGGGTGGTCATGTCGTGAAGGTGAGAATGGCAGACAGCTGTGGGCTGCAGTTGTTTGGGTTGCAGTTGAAGAAGTCTCGCTTGCCATTGTGGAGGTTGACGCCTCCATCTCAGGGGAGGAAGCCATGTGGCTTATTAGGCTAGGAAGCTCTTGTGGATAGCAGGTGCTTGATTGAGCTGGAAGAGACGAAATCAGCTTGAAATAGACTGCAAGCTAGGCGTACAAATAACGTGGGTATTTAGAAAAGATCGATGCTAGGTGGATAGGAAGAGATATGAGATGAATAGACCACACTAATTGCCAACGCACAATTGAGTAAGATGTGGAGGATGTACGCTGCATATGAAGGAAACGAGTGTCCTCACTAATTGAATGAGAAAGAGTGACAAAAAAGCAGGCTGGGATCACTTCTCCATCATGTGTCTAACAGCCTCTTTTGTGGACGGCCTCCTGCATGCGAGCAGCACCGATTCGTGTGCCAAAAGAAGGCCCATCAGACGACCTCGCCAACGAACTGGGCAATTATTGAACGAATTGGCTGCTCAGCTCGGCTTGGCCACCAACAGAAAGAGACTCCGATTGAGGGGTTCGTAAACAGGGGCGTTCTCGGGAAGAGAAGATTGGAGGCTTCAAAGGCGGCAATGTGGCTGGTGGCCCAAAATGGCAAGGCGGCTCGCTGGCTGCCTGTTCCGCCAACTGCCACTGCCTGTGATGTTCATCCTGTGGAGTGGAGAAGATAAGATAAGGTTAAGGCCGGGCCAGGCAGGCGGCTCTCTAGTGTCCAGCTCGGATATCCTTTTCTCCGCATTCCGCCCAGGCTCCCGCTTTCACGGTCAGGGCAGCTGTCAAATCAGAAGGGCCAAAGACCCCTGAAAAGTGGAGAAAGTGCTCCTGGGCAGCGAAGCTCTTCAGCGCCGAGACGGCAGGCCATTGGCGGCCAGCAGCAGCAGCCAGGTGTCCCCCTGGGCCCTGGCAGCGGCGTCCAGTGGGAGCGGGACCTGGATGAGGTCAGTGCCTGGCCCACATCAGCTTCCACACCTTCCATGCTGCTTCACTGCTGGCTATCTGTCCAGGGGAATCGCGATCACCAGCACCACCAGCCTGCATTCCCTAGCCTGCCTGCCTCCGTCATCACGGAACGACACTCAACACCACAGCGACACGGACTGCCTCCTTGTTTTCGACCACACACGACACCCGCGATCCTGCATCACATTGGCACCGATAGCCCTCTCTGCGCACCCGCACTACCGCCGACACAGTCACTTCCGACGTACCTCGCCTTGAACCTCCGCCGATCCGATCCTCCTGCTCAGCTTCGACCCCGGCACCTCCGTGCCTCCGACCCGCCGTCAACCCGATCGCCATCTGCTCTATCTCGTCCTCTTCCTCTCCTCCTCCCCTCTTGCAATCCTGGCTTCCCGGCCGGGTGAGCTGGTCGAGAACGTCCAGCGCCAGTCGAATGAATGCAACCCCTAAATCCATTCCTCGCTGCCTTCTTCCGAAGCTCCCTGCCGTCACAGTGCACGCCGGTCCATCATCACATCCTCCTGGTCCCGACCACCGATGTGCTCCTCACCTCGCGCGAGTCCGAGAGCGGCTCGACCTTTCACGAGGTCATCACCTCCGAAGAGTTCCTAGCTAGCCACGTCTTGCGCATACCCGCCTCCAACACCGCCGCTGCCGCCGGTGGCAAGGATGTTGCACAAAACCTACGGGAGCTGAGGGGGAAGGCGAAGCAGTACCAGACCATCAACGGCCGCACAGTCGTCATTAAGGATACGCATGTCTACAGTAATAAGGGTGCGCCCATCCTGCTGACCAGACAGCCCACCAAAGACATCAGCTGACGTGTGCGACTTAGGCTTCAAGTCCCTTGCCCAGGCTCAACTGCTCAACGACGCGACATGGTATCCCGACCTGCTCGAGCCCCGCCAATGGCTGATATACTACATCTCCCGACCTCTCGTGGGAGTATGGGACGAGATCAAGATTGTGCCTGCCGTGCTGATCGAGGGCATTGCGAGAATACAGGCTCTCGAGCGGAGTCGATCGGCAGCAATGGAAGGCGAGGGCGCAATGCTGCCCCGCAAGAAGGACATCAAGAGCTTCCACGACCTGCTGAATCACTTTCCGATCATTGCGCGACAAATGCAACCCGGGTTGGAGAAGCTGTTCCGCGAGTTCACGACCGTCTTCGAGCGACCGCTGCCGCCGCCCCCCTCGGCGATGCGCATACCCGACCCCGAGCCCGAGGGGCCAATTGCGACTGCCATGAAAAATGCGCGCTCCAATAGCATGAACGCTGCCAGAAGACCCAACAGCATACCCAATGGGCTGCCAGTGGCGGAGAATTTCTACGCAGAGGACGATGAGGACGTTATGAGGGCTTCTCTCGAGACTGCGGTGACGGCGGCCATTGATTTGTTCCAAGGGGTCGACAAGCAACAGCTTTCAATGCTCGGTGCGACGACGGATTTGACTGGACCTCGGGTTGAGAGGCTCATCGAACGATACGTCACCGAAAACGTGCACCACCTCTTGTTCCCACGCCTCAGCGCAATGAAGCGGCCGTATGATCTCGAATTGGAGGCCAAGATCCGGCAGATGGAGTTCATCGACTTGTCGCAGCTGGGCATTGTCATTGAAGGCGGCTGGCGCGGGAAGCACGAGCTGACGATACAACTCGGTCTTGCCGTGGAGGAGTTCAAAAAGATGGCTCTCGCCCTGAGCCCACAAGAGATGCTTGACCTGCTGCTGTCGACCATCAAGGCCGTCACCCATCTGACGGACCTCTCCCGGGCGCAAGCGGCTTCTTCATCAGAAAAGCCTACCCTGACCGTCAATGCTGACACTCTCGTGTCGTTACTCCTGTTTGTGGTTATCCGAGCTCAAGTCAGGCATTTGCATGCGCGTCTCATCTACATTCGCCAATTCATCTTCATTGACGACGTCGACAATGGCGAAATGGGGTACGCCCTGAGCACCTTCGAAGCCGTCTTGGCCTACCTTGCTCTCGATTCATCGGGACTGAGAAGAGCCAGCAAGCGAAACAAGTCGCTTTGGGATGCCGTGTGCAACGGCACGATGGATGGAGTTAAACGGATCATGGAGCCGGACTCAAATGCGATTGTCGACGATGATATCTATGACTCGCCAGTATCAAGTCGCCGGCCGTCAGGCACGTGGAGCTACACGAATGGTACTGCGTCCAGGCGATCTTCCACGGCGGCTACAGCGTCCGATCGCTTCTCCTCTGGCTCCGGCCTGAGCCACGTATTCCCGTTCCAAGTCGAGGACAGCGATACAGACCTTGACTTCCCCCTTCCTCCTGCGCCACGAAAAGTGAAGCGAGTAGCCATGGACACAAGAAGCATGTCCAGCGGATCCGAGATTTCTTACCACTCAAGAGCGACAAGTAATGGGACTATCGGCAGCGTGCTGGAAGGTGATATCTCCATTGATCGCTTATCGCAGACACACAATTCCTTCGGCGAGTCACTTCTAATGATGGCCGTGCAAAACGAGAGGCCCGAAGTTCTCAAATACCTTCTGTCGCTAGACGAATACTACCCGCCAAAGATGATTCTCGATGACATCAACAACGAAGATACGACACTGCTAAGCGCCGCTGTTCAACTAGGACACGCGGAGATGATTAACACCCTCCTCAACTTTGTCATGGCGGCTGCGTCAAAAGAGCGCCTCAGGGAATACCTCACGCAACAGGACATTTGGGGGCGCAGCTGTGCGCATTACTTGTTCCACGCGCCGTTCCTCATATCTCGCATAGGGAAATTAGTTCCCTGGCGGCAAAAAGACAAGAACGGCCAGACGCCACTTTTTGCGTTGTGTCGCTCCTATGACCATGTGCATTACCATGAAATGGTGGATGCCGGCCTTGACGCGGCCACGGAAGCCCAGGGTGATGGGCTTCCGCTCCACATTGACAACCATGTGGATGGCAAGGGGAATACGCTGCTTCACATTGTGAACGATCCCCATCTCGCAGCCAGGGTTCTTCAGCAATGCGATGTTGACGTCAATGCAACCAATGAAAAGAAGTTTACGCCATTGATGGTAGCCAGCAAATATGGCCGGCTGGACATGGTGAGGACGTTGTATGTGGATGCACGAGTCGACGTTGCAGCCCGAGAGCTCCGAAGCCTGACGGCCGTCGAGCTGGCCAAAGACGACGACATTCGAAATAAGATTGACGACTTGGCACTGTTTAGCATGCCCCCTGCGGCGGATGCCCGTATTACCGGTGTCGTAAGGGCCTTTTTTGTTGAAGATGCGACCATTCGCTTGGTCTTGAAATCGGCCGCCCCCGCCGACCACATGAGCTACACTGTCACGACTAGCCGCCGCAACCTCTCCGATTTCGAGCATCTTGGCAATCTCCTCGCGCTTGAGAATCCGGCGTCGTGGATACCCGCCGTAGCCGGGGTGCGGTCGCCGTTCCAGATCCCATCGAAGCCGTCGAGAGCAGTCCTGCGGGACATCCAGACTAGGACCGACTGGTTCCTCAAGATCATGCTCCAGCACCCCACATTCGCTACACACGAGATGCTGTGGGAGTTCTTCCTCGTACCCGATATCCAGCTGGGTATGATGGAGCAGAGAAGCAATTTGAAGGCGGAAACACGAGCTGAGAAGGTGCGGGAAGAGTACGAGCCTGTGAAGGATGTGCGGGAGGTCGAGCAGTTTGTCGACCACGCCAGAGAGATGGTGCGGAACGTCAACTATTCCACCAAGAGCGTGGCCAGAAGAGTCAACGCCATCGGGATCGTTGCATCAGGTAAGCCTCGCCCCGTCAACTGAATGTTCGCCAGCTAACGCTTCCAGACCTTCATGATGCAGCAGCTCTTCTGCACCGCGCCGTATCAACGCTGCCGTTCCTGCCATTGGCATACACCACCGCATTGGAATCATACGTACGCACCGTCACGCCGATGCAATCGAACCCTTACGCCATCTTCCACTCCACATTTCTCGCATCGCAATCGACGATCCAAGGCCTCCTGTCAGCGCTGGCGCGGCCACCGGCGCTCATCACACAAATCTCGACCGCCCGCAAGGCAGTG